GATTTAAATCACTGAATTTTATTTTTAAAATCAAGTTGATTTAAAAAAATTTTAATCACCTGATTTAAATCAACCCAACCCTGATTTCAATTATGAAAAAAAAGTCAATTGAATATTGTATTATTTTACAGTAACAGGCGGGAAAGCAGACTTTTAAGCATGATTATATTAGTCTACTAAACCTTATATCTGTTTAATAAAACCAAGGAAAGGAATTCTGAATGTTCAAATATGTAAAACTGAATACATTTTTAAAAAAGTGATTTAAATCACTGATTTTTATTTTAAAAATCAAGTTGATTAAAATATTTTTAAAAATCAACTGATTTAAATCAACCCAACTCTGCACTTAACAGAATGGGGCTACATTCAAAGTCAGCCTTCTGATGTCACTAAAAAGACAATTTCCCAATACTAAACATTAATTACACCAAATAAACTGAGAAGTTTGAAACGCCGGTCTCTTCACAAATAGTATGTGCTGAAAAGTAACAAATTTCCTAAGAGCCTGTCGATCATCTTAAGTAAGAAAGGAAATATTCATTAAATGGTATAGCTTTGATGCCTCTATGATGTACCAAGGGAAACCAACAGTTATGAATTTCACCCTGTAATTGAAATGTTCCAAAAATTATAACTAACTACACGTATCATACTTCTCAGAATCTCTGCTTCTCTGTGCATATGTTTCAGCTTATATTCTACTATTCAATAGTTTGTGTGAGTGTATGTTTGAGTATATGTGTATATGCCAAAGTGTGGGTGCGGGCATCAGAGTTTGTACCTTCTTTCAAAGAACATTTGGGTGGGGGGATGGGGCAAAGAACTTTGATAACTTCACTGCTGATATCAATCAAACCTTTGAAATAAATTATATAACTAAACGGTCAGCTCTGCTAACATAAATCATAAATCTCAGTCTACCTTCTGCTTAGGGACCATTTACAACATACAACAAAAGACACTCACCTGAATTTCTAAGAGGAGCAGATGTTTCTTCTCTTGTATACTCTTCAACAGTTTTTGTTCATCATCAGTAAGATCTAGTTTGCAAGAAAAAAAAATCAATAAGTTCTTAATTATTATTACAGGCGTACATCGATGTATGGGTACACCCACAGGTAAATGCTGTAATGGCAAAGGTACTGAAACAAAAGAACCTCCCAATTGAAGAAAGTTTCATGCCCTCCAAAAAGTGGAGGAATAAATATCATTAATATGTAAGGCATTATATAGACAAGGAAAGGGTACTTTTCCATAATAATATGTCTTCTTTATACATCAAATGAGAAATAATTCCTCCAAAAGTCAAATTTCCCAGACCCCCCCACCCCCACCTCAATTATAAAGCTTATTTTAAATGATATTGGGGGAAGGCAAGCTCCCTGAACCCTATAAAAACATTGATTCTTCAGCCAACAGAAGCTGGGTCCAATACTGCAAAAATAAAGAATAAAATCTATAAAAATAAAATTAATAATTTTAGACTTGCATTGGTAATTCAACATGCCATAATTCTACTGATTTAAGACAACAACTTGGAAAGGGTTGTGAGAAAGGCAGAGCATGGTGAACGGAAGAAGGAACAGCATGCATCAATGACTATAATGTCAGATTTGACAAAAGCAGTAGTCTCTGGTGCTTGGGAGCAAGGAAAATGCGAGATCTTAGCCAATGCACCAAGGGGAAAAGCAAAGGTAATTTATAATTACGTTCAGGCCCACAGTCGGGAAAACAGTCTCCCCTTACTCTGATATAGTCTGGCGTGACCCCTGAGTGGGTTTATTATGACTTATAGTGAGCCAAGTAGCAAAGAGTAGTTAACCTTGACGACCAATCATAATCATACATGGACATGTGATCACATTCACGAGAAAGGCTGATCTGTGATGCAGTTTAGTCTGCTGTGTCTACCCACATTTTTGTTCCATAAATGTTTTCTTAATACAGCAGGATGTTAATAGAACCAGGATCGTAAGCGGTGGGATCTTAGGCGGAAACTACTGTACTGAGTGTCACAATGAGTCAATGAGCTCTCTGTAACTAACCATGACTATGACAAGTAAGAGAAACAACCTCTGAATCCATCCCAAAACAGTAAACTTATATCATCCCTAGCTCCTATCCTCCTTGCATGATGAAAACAATATAATGCATTATCTCCAATCAAAGAACAGAGGACCTCTCGGGATGATCATCATAGAGGAGGAGGAGCAGAAATTAATAACAAGCACGGTCATTTCCAATTTCATCATTTTTGGTTGTGTTTTTACTAATTTATGTTGTTTTTTTGGAAGGATTTTCATAACGAGCAACTCCTCCAACAAACACAAATAAAGAAGAGACTAAACCCTATCCCTGACCAAACCCTTACCCCAAACCCTAACTCTCTTTTCTACTCTTGTTTCATCGGTGGGAGTATTCTCATCACGGGTGAAAATACTCCACATATTTTTCTCACCCGCGTTTTTCTTTTCCACCCTTGTAATTTCGTTTAGGTTTTAAGAATCTATCACAGAAATGCTGGGATTCAACACTAATCACCTGTTATAGCTCTACATTCTAGATCTAACTAACAAAAAAAAATCCTTGAAAAACATTTTTTTTCACCCCCAAGCAGTATCCCAAATCTTTTCCAAGTCCTTTCAACACACCCCTAACCGAGACCCAAGGCCTTGTGCACAGTTTAGGCCAGCACAAGTTTAAAAGACATTCAACAGAAATCACATAGAGACATCTTCATCTCAAATTTCCTCCTCATTAATTTCAGCAAAATCATTCTCTAACTCCCTCATTTTGCGGTAATTTTAGTTGAAAATGAAAGAATAACAACATACTACAGTGTGGTAGTCGCCATAGTGGTCGAAGCTCACAAAACCTGGCCATTTTGCAATTCCAAACACTTGGCCAGGTTTTGCAGTCATCGACAACTAACTACGGTAGGCTCTATTGAGCGGACAAATTCCTCTGCCTCATGGTCTGCTGACAGCAGCCGAATTCGTCCGCCTCACGGTCAAGTGTATCATGTAATCATTACACTCTCTTATTTCACAAATTTCTATCATTCTTTTACATGATGTATTTAGGTTAGGCCTACCTGTTCTCAAAACCCAGGTGAGAATAAAATTCATTGTATTCTCAGACCGGGTGAGAATAAAATGGATACTATTCTCACCACGGGTGAGAATATTTTATAATGACGGCCCCGTTTCATAGTGGTCGCTCCACAGAATTCCTCCCAGGTTTTTTTTTCTCATCTGTCCATGGCAATTAGCCTATATAACTTGAAAAATTACTAAATGAAATATGAGGACGCATCCTTTGAAAAATATTCAAAACCTCGAAAAAATGTTGGCAAATAATCTAAAGTAACAGTAGATTCGGGTAACTTTGCCACCTGCCCCCCCCCCCCCCACCCCATCGATTTAAAATGGGAATTATAATCTGATATACTCACCAAGCAAGAGTATAAGTGTTAAGTTACTTGGAACCAGAAACAATTCTATGTCAATTGATGAACCTATAAGAAAAATGAATTGTAATGACGAAGAAAAATCGCGGTGTTTTAAGCATGATGCATCTTCCTGCAAAGCTTCCCTTTCCTCCTCTCTTGCCCTATCTCTGCTGCTCCTGCACTATTTTTTTATCTTGCTGTGTCTATTGCTTAATGTTAAAAGTACTATTGCTGTACATAAATTTTTTTTACTCAGGTTGAGTTAAAACTGCTTTACTGATAAGATTATATTTGTTGCATTTTTTGGTCGTTTCTATGCATTGTATGCCCTTTTACTGTTAAAATATAGGGAAGGGGTCGTGGTGGAGGGATTTTTTTTTGTTTACATGAAGGATTTTAGTTTTTGCTGGGTAACTAAATGTAAAATAGGTTACTGCCAAAGTCGAGCAGTCTTGTTTTAATGCAATACCTTTTGAAGGCCTTTTCAAATGAAGTATAGTCACGATTGAATATGAATATTCAGACATTTAAAAATCTCTAGATCTAGAGTAGCTGGCCCAACCCGCGACCACTTGTCGTATTTTGCTTCTCAGCAGTCTCTGTCTGCAAAATAGGTCAGGCAATCCATGTTCAGGGCTGCTTCAGTGTGTCAACTTCAGGTTTATACAGTGATATCGTCGCTCTGCCCTTGGCGCGACCGCACGCCGCCAGCGCGACCGCACGGAACAGGGCGCGACCATGAGCGCACAGACATTATAACAGATGCAAGAAAGTTTTTAGTGCACTATTTAAAGGTTAGTATAATCATTTCTTGGGGGGGGGGGGGGGGGGCGCGGAGGGATTTTTTTTTTTACATGAAGGATTTTAGCTTTTGCATGGTGATTAAATGCAGAGGAAGTGGTTATTCTATGTCTCGCTATTCTCACCCCCTCCTTTGTTTTACCGGAAATTACCTAAGAGGGATCAGGGCTGAGGTAACCGGGGCTGATGCCCCACAGGATCGTGTTGGCGTCCGAATAGACGTAGATCTAAATCTAGTCAGTCAGGGTTGTCAGTTTGGAGCCAAATCCCAGAAATTCATCTCTTAAGGGTCGCGTCTGGCCCAGAGAATTTAATTTGGCTCTCTGGCTCTTTTTTTTTTTTTGCTCAAACTCCAAATGTTCAAGGAGAAGGGGACAAAAGAGGCAAGAAAAATAAAGAAAAAGAAAGAATTTATTTTAAAAAAATGAAAGTGAAGAAAAGAGCTCGGATTGCTTGATAAAATTATTAAACTAGTTAACATGATTTAACGCCCTCGCCCGTTTGGTCTGAATAATTTACAACCTTTCAACCATCATGCAAGAGTATCAATTTTAATAGTCTCGTGCTTGTGTCTCGACGCTCATACATATACACGCTGTTATTTGAACCACAATTTATTGTGTGCAGGCAGAGAGAGAGAGGCCTGCCATCGTTAAGTGTGTAAACAACGATCAGTAGCATCTGTAGTGAGCCTTTTTTTTTTTACTGGAGAGGCGAAAAAATGTTTTTACAATATTATTATTATTCGTTCCCAACCACATGCGGTAAGCGACCAAGGGCCTAGGTGATTTTATCGGCCGGCAAGAGGTCAGGGAGGTGGGAGCTGTTCACATCAAAGGGGGGGAATAGCGAGACATGGGTTATTCTGGGTGAGAATAAAGGTGGCCAAATGCAAAATATAGGTTACTGCCAAGGTCGAGCAGTCTTTTTTTCTTGCAGTACCTTTTGAAGGTATTTTCAAATGAAGAATAGTCCGGGAACGTTGCCCAAACCACAACTGAAGTATCTGAATATTCAGACATTCAAAAATCTCTAGCTCCAGAAATTGAATTTGATGCAAAAAATGCTTCTTCCCAGTCCTCGCAGAATGGCAGAATGAAAGGATGACGCCTAAATCTCGCAAATATCCCAAAAAATCTCAAGATCGGAAACCGTTCGGAGAAACAGTCACTTTGTAAAATTAAATTCTGACTCGAGTCCGAATAGAGCTGGCCAATAAAAAACGAAGTGACTATTTCTTCGAACGGTTTCCATTCTTGAGATTTTTTTGTTATTTGCCAGCTTTAGGCGTCAACTTTCATTCTGTGAAGACTGGGAAGAAGCATTTTTTGAATCGCATTCAATTTATAGACGCTACATACATCTAAAGATTAAAATGTCTGAATATTCAGATACTTCAATTGTGGTTGGGGCAACGTTCCCGGACTACACATCATTTGAAAATGCCTTCAAAAGGTACTGCAAGAAAGCAAGACTGCTCGACTTTGGCAGTAAGTGTAACCTATATTTTGCATTTGTCACTCCAAAAGCAAAACATGAAATCCTTCATGTAAACAAAATAAACAAAATAAAAATGGAAGTGGCTATCCTCACCCGGGGTGAGAATAAAAATATGATCTACCTCTCACCCCGGGTGAGACTTGCCAGCGTAGGCTATTCTCACCCGGTGTGAAACAAGACCTGTTTTTCCTCATATCGGAATACTGTCTATCGGTGTGGATGATCAAATTGATAAAAAAAAGCCAAGAAAAAATTACGTTATAGCACAAAAATAAGCTAATTTGATCGTCTTCAAAGATGCTATGGCTATTTCTCTTTTCGAATCGAGCCGAACTACGCGGGTCGCCATTTTGTTTTGCCCGGAAGTTCTCGCAACTACTCCTCCCCTCTCTCTCTCTGTCTCTTTCTGAATACTGTCTATCGGTGTGGACGATCAAATTGACCAACACAAAGTTAAAAAATGATGTTTAAAAAACAAAACTAAATTAATTTGGTCGTCTACAAAGATGCTACGGGCTATTTAACTTTCCGAATCGAGCCAAACTACGCAGGT